CACACTCTCTCTCACACACACACACACTCTCTCACACACACACACACACACTCACACACACACACACACACACACATGTATGTCAGAGTCAGTCAGCTGTGTATGTGGTGATATCTGTCTGTCTCTCGGTCTGTCCAGTGTCCGGTTTATGATCTGGATAATAATGTGGCGTTTATTGGAATGTATCAGACTATGACCACCACAGCTGCCATCACAGTGCAGGTAACACACACACACACACACACTTCTATCATTACAAGGACTTTCCATTGACATAACTGTTTTTAAACTAAGCTAATGACATTTTTTGTCACCTAACCATCACTGAAACCATTTTGTGTTTAGTACTGTAATCAGGATATTCAGAAAGGGCACATGACTGTAGGGTTTGCCGCTTTTTAGTAAAACAGTGGATTTTATCTCGCATTCAGTGTCTAATTGCATATTTAATAAAACATTGTTGAAATAAGTTGATGTATCCGTTTGATTGACGGGGACAGTCACACCAGCACACAGAATCAGTGCAGTGTGATTATTATTGTGTGAGGTTGTGTGATCCGTGTGTTTCAGAGGAAGGATTTCCCCAGTAACAGTTTCTATGTGGTGGTGGTGGTGAAGACTGAAGACGAGGCGTGCGGAGGACCACTGCGATTCTACCCGCTCTTACCTGGTTAGTGCAGCCAATCAGAGCACAGGGTTACTCTACTGCAGCCAATCAGAGCATACTGCAGGCAATCAGAGCACACCGTTACTCTACTGCAGCCAGTCAGAGCACAGGGTTACCCTACTGCAGCCAATCAGAGCACAGGGTTACCCTACTGCAGCCAATCAGAGCACAGGGTTACCCTACTGCAGCCAATCAGAGCACAGGGTTACTGTACTGCAGCCAATCTGAGCACACTGTTACTCTACTGCAGTCAATCAGAGCACACTGTTGCTCTACTGCAGCCAATCAGAGCACAGGGTTACTGTACTGCAGCCAATCTGAGCACACTGTTACTCTACTGCAGTCAATCAGAGCACACTGTTGCTCTACTGCAGCCAATCAGAGCACAGGGTTACCCTACTGCAGCCAATCAGAGCACAGGGTTACCCTACTGCAGCCAATCAGAGCACAGGGTTACCCTACTGCAGCCAATCAGAGCACAGGGTTACCCTACTGCAGCCAATCAGAGCACAGGGTTACCCTACTGCAGCCAATCAGAGCACAAGGTGACTTGACTTGACTTGACTTTTCTTTTCTCTTCACAGGACAGACAAGAAATTCAGCTTCAACGCGACGCCGTCCCAACCACAGGTCTCACACACACTCTCTCTCACACACACACACACACTCTCTCTCTCACACACACACTCACACACATAAGTTGATGTATCCGTTTGATTGACGGGGACAGTCACACCAGCACACAGAATCAGTGCAGTGTGATTATTATTGTGTGAGGTTGTGTGATCCGTGTGTTTCAGAGGAAGGATTTCCCCAGTAACAGTTTCTATGTGGTGGTGGTGGTGAAGACTGAAGACGAGGCGTGCGGAGGACCACTGCGATTCTACCCGCTCTTACCTGGTTAGTGCAGCCAATCAGAGCACAGGGTTACTCTACTGCAGCCAATCAGAGCATACTGCAGGCAATCAGAGCACACCGTTACTCTACTGCAGCCAGTCAGAGCACAGGGTTACCCTACTGCAGCCAATCAGAGCACAGGGTTACCCTACTGCAGCCAATCTGAGCACACTGTTACTCTACTGCAGTCAATCAGAGCACACTGTTGCTCTACTGCAGCCAATCAGAGCACAGGGTTACTGTACTGCAACCAATCATAGCGCAGGGCTACTCCACTGCAGCCAGTCAGAGCACACAGTTACTCTAGGTTACTCTACTGCAGCCAATCAGAGCATACTGCAGGCAGTCAGAGCACACCATTACTCTACTGCAGCCAATCAGAGCACAGGGTTACCCTACTGCAGCCAATCAGAGCACAGGGTTACCCTACTGCAGCCAATCAGAGCACAGGGTTACCCTACTGCAGCCAATCAGAGCACAGGGTTACTGTACTGCAGCCAATCAGAGCACAGGTTTACCATACTGCAGCCAATCAGAGCACACGGTTACTGAAGTGCAGCCAATCAGAGCACAGGGTTACTGTACTGCAGCCAATCTGAGCACACTGTTACTCTACTGCAGTCAATCAGAGCACACTGTTGCTCTACTGCAGCCAATCAGAGCACAGGGTTACTGTACTGCAACCAATCATAGCGCAGGGCTACTCCACTGCAGCCAGTCAGAGCACACAGTTACTCTAGGTTACTCTACTGCAGCCAATCAGAGCATACTGCAGGCAGTCAGAGCACACCATTACTCTACTGCAGCCAATCAGAGCACAGGGTTACCCTACTGCAGCCAATCAGAGCACAGGGTTACCCTGCTACAGCCAATCAGAGCACAGTGTTATTGTACTGCAGCCAATCAGAATCCATGTTTGATGTGATTGTGTGTGTTTCCTCAGATGAGCTGCTAGATGCTGGGAATCGCAGTAAAACTCTGGATGTGATTGTTTCTCCTGCCATTAACTGTGAGCAGCACTACACATTCACTCAGTCCTTCATTCATGCATCCATCAGTTCATTCGTTCATTCTGTCTGCTCTCTAGCGGAGGTGTATGTGATGGGGATGCTCTTCTGCCTGGGGATCTTCCTGTCCTTCTATCTGCTCACGTTTCTCGTGGCGTGTGTGGAGAATAAGAGGTACGACACTGTGTTTGAAATGATAAAGACACAGATGCTGCTCTGAACCTGAACACGATGCCAGTGACACCAAATAAATGCAGTAGTTGAAGGTTTTCATGATGTTTGAAGATTCAGTGACAGCCAATCACATTCTGTCTTTCTCAGGATGAACAGGAAGAGGGAGTGGCTTCTGAACGCCGACACCTCACCTGCAGAGACAGGTAACCGAACACACACCTGTAGGAGTGTTAGCTGTAATTTATGGACTAATCTGGATCACAGAATTATTAATGTCTTGAATGTAATGAGTGACTTTATCAAAATGTTTATTCTTTTATTTTCTATTCTCTTTTCACCATCTTTGTGTGTGTTTAGCGTCTCTCTTGGGTAAGACTTGTGTGTGTGTGTTTTACTGACACACTGATTTATTAGCACGCTGTCTCACACAAGTGTGTTTGTGCACAAGATATGACACTTCCTGCTTTCATTGGCTCACAAACGCTCTCTCTATCTGTGCACACCTGTAGTTGTGACATCACTGCTGTAAACTAACCCAAACACTAACACACTCCTGTTTAGAGGTGCTTAGTGAACTGAATCTTTTTGTTTCACTTTTGGGCATGACGACCTCATTTACATGCAGGAGTGACTGCTGAATGATCTAGTGATCTCTATAGAAAGAAACATGAATGCCAGCAGTGTTTGAAATAATAAAAACCATTAACTACTAGCTGTTCAGATCAGTTCTGTGTGGATCTCGTGTAAATGTCACTCCTGTAAGTAACTGAACTGTGTTTGATATTCAGTACTGAAGATTTAGATGAAGCACATCTCCACACACACACACACGAGCATCTGTCTAACCCACTGTGTGTGTTTCAGGAAAGGCTCCAGTGTCTCCGTATGAATACGGCTCATTTGGTGGGTTTGTGAAAGTTTTCATTCGGATTGATTTCTGCATCGGATGTGTTTTAATCTGTCTGTCTGTTTCTCTAGCTGATAACGGAAGCACATTGAGCTCTGAAGCTGTTACTGACAGTTTAGCATCGGCCGATGGGAACTACGGATACATGGGTACACACACACACACACACACACACACACACACACACAGAATATATTCATGCTCATGTTGGTAGTTCTCTGCCCTCTCATTGGCTGTCTGATGTGCTCTGCTTTCTGATTGGTGTGTTTTTACCACTTAGGATCAGAGACTTTTAAACGGCGAATACTCACAGCACATCATGTAGCCATCCGCATTGGTGACACGCCCACTTTATAAATCAGCCAATCAGCACCTCCATACGAAATCCCTCCCAATCCAAAATCAGAATCCCACAAATATTGGCCCGATGTCCTGAAAAACATCGGAAATGATTGTGTCTTTAATTGTATTTGCTTTGATTTTTATTTAAATGAGTACGAGTTAATGAGAATTTGGATAAAAACTTCTATTAAATGCATAAATACAAGTGATATAAATCAAGTGCCCTATTTGCTGAAAAATTTCTAATGCATGATGTAATGAATGATGTCATTTCAGGAATTCATTCAGTGATCCATCCGTCATGATGATCTAAATCTGAAGCCTGCTGATCAGCGTTGTGTTTTCTGTGTTCTAGAGCGTTCCTTAGAGAGTGTCGGCCGCAGTCGCCACGAGTCTCTGAGTTCAGTAGAAGAAGACGATTACGACACGCTGGCCGACATCGACTCGGACAAAAACATCGTCCGTACAAAGGTGCTCGAACCAGTGAAGAACACAACTGTAACAACGAGAACTGTAACTGTGTATTTATTGACTGTGATCTCTGTCCTTCACAGAAGTTCCTGTGCGTCTCTGATCTCGCTCGTAAAGACAAACGCATCCTCAGCAAGAAATACCAGATCTACTTCTGGTGAGTCTCAAACACACGGGTCAGGACAGGAAGTGTGTGTCTGTTTTATACCTCCGGTGACTGTGCTGTGTGTGTGTTTTCTCTGCAGGAACATTGCTACGATCGGCGTGTTTTACGCTCTTCCTGTCATTCAGCTGGTTATCACCTATCAGACGGTATGAAATCTCTGTTTATGTATGTATTTATGTACAGTATACGTCATGTGTGTTCTGTCTCCCCGATGACTATTATAATGTGTTTTCTGACAGGTTGTAAATGTCACTGGAAACCAAGACATCTGCTATTATAACTTCCTGTGTGCACACCCTCTGGGAGCTCTAAGGTGTGTGTGTGTGAGGGAGAGAGAGAGAGAGTGTGTGTGTGTGTGTGTGTGTGTGAGAGAGAGTGTGTGTGAGAGAGAGAGAGAGTGTCTGTGTGTACATTCATCAGACATTTTGGAAGTAATTAGTGGATACAAAACTGTCTAAATGCATAAAGCCTTTTCTCATCAAAGATGAAAACTATAAAGTTTTAAAAATTAGAGCGAGAATAGCAGAGTCCAGACCATAAGAATAATAATATTGTTGGAATTATTTTTAGAGTTTTTTACTGCTGATGATCAGTAAAACCTTTGACAGCTAATCAGAATCCAACTTCAAAGAGCTGAAGCATTTAAAGTGGCAGACAAAAAACTGCGAGTAAAGATCTGCAGTAAATGTGAGTGTTGTGATGTGTTCAGCTCCTTCAATAACATCCTGAGTAACCTGGGTTATGTGCTGCTGGGGCTGCTGTTCCTGCTCATCATCCTACAGAGGGACATCCTTCATAAACGCGCGCTCGAGCGCAACGAGAACACAGCTATGGTGAGAAGCAGAGAGCATCGCATCTGTCTGACCCACTGACTGTCCACTCTCTTCACTTCAGACACCTGAATCAGGCTGTGTTTTAATCAGCTGTTTGTCTTCAGGAGTGTGGCATTCCCAAGCACTTCGGCCTGTATTACGCCATGGGCACTGCTCTGATGATGGAGGGGCTACTCAGCGCCTGCTACCACGTCTGTCCGAACTACACCAACTTCCAGTTCGGTGAGTGTGATGATGTTCATGTACCGCAGGGATTGTGACCTACATCGGATACATCAGACATATAACGGATTATCAAAAAAGAGGAAGTGCAGAGCGGGACGTGGTTGAGTGCATCAGCTGTTGATTGGATGTTGAGATGCAGGCCTGATGGGCGGAGCTTAAGAGCACTGACTGACTGGAATAGTCCTGCATATGTCACTAAAGAGAAGACTGATGATCCAGTTATGAATCACGAGGTCAAAACATTTAAATGGTAGTAATTGTAACAGATCAGTAACATGAATTTAGAAAACAGAGAGGGTGAATTTTCATGTCGACTTTACCTTAAGTAAATATTTTAGCTTATAATAAAGTTTGGGAATCCCTGATCTAATTTATTGGATGTGTGTTTGTGTGTTTCAGACACGTCCTTCATGTATATGATTGCTGGACTGTGTATGTTGAAGCTGTATCAGAAGAGACACCCAGACATCAACGCCAGCGCGTACTCCGCTTACGCTTGTCTGGCTGCTGTCATATTCTTCTCTGTGCTGGGAGTGGTGAGAAACACACACACTCACACACACACACACACACACACACACACACATCTGTATCCAAGTGTTTAAGCTCATAAATCAGCCAAATCATGTTTACATTGCAGTCTAATCTTGTGCAGGTGTGAGGGCTGGTTTATCATTACACTGATAGAAAAAACAGAATTGTTTCTGATATGACTCAAACCTCTGTGTGTGTGTGTGTGTGTGTGTGTGTGTGTCAGGTGTTTGGTAAGGGTAACACAGCGTTCTGGATCGTTTTCTCTGTCATACACATACTGGCTACACTGCTGCTGAGCACACAGCTCTACTACATGGGCCGCTGGAGACTCGGTGAGTTACACACACACACACACACACACACTCACACACACACACACACACACACT